ACTTAAAGTGATTTAAAGTGTCTCTACTTCAACATATTGATTTCCCACTAACCTCTACAGACACTCACCTCCCTCCAACTGCACTAAGTGCAGACTGAGGAGACGCTCTGCATTACAGTCAGTTTGGGGGAGACTACGGGTGCCGTCTTGGAACAATAATGACAATACTAACGAATCTCAAAAAAGTACATAGCACATATGCAAAAAAGAAGAAACGGGAAGGTTTTTTTTGCGGTGTTAAAGACGCACAGCCATGTCAGAATGTATTTCACCCTGTTACATTCTCACATAAACACAAGCACGATATAAGCAGCTGTAAAGTATTTGTTTGTTCCCAGATGCTATTTATACTTAAGAAACCAGTCATGTATGAACCCAAACCCAGCAGTATGTTAAGAAGAAGAACTGATGAATTAATAATTTTTTTGTGATGTCTGTTTTGTTTTTCACCTTTGGATGTTGTCTAAAATGACACACAGAGAAACTCACCAAAACATAAACATGGAAATCCATCTACATACAGTATAGTGCAAAAAGCTGCATGAATACAATCATAAAGCAGTATTAATGCTATTATTAATAAAAACATGCAAACAAACTCACATTTCTGTAAGCCTGGTCTGGTCCTGCACTCTGCACTGTGATCCACACTATAGGAGAAGCAGAATGACATAGTGCTGCTGTATCCATTTATTTATTGGTGCCTGTTCTTCACATACATGCATAAGTATATGTAGCGTGTCAGACACACTCTCTACTCACTTCAGCTTCTCCAGTTTACAGCTGGGATCCTCCAGTACAGCAGAGAGCAGCTTCACTCCTGAGTCTCCTGGGTGATTGTAGCTCAGGTCCAGCTCTCTCAGATGTGAGGGGTTTGACCACAGAGCGGAAGCCAGGGAAGTACAGCCTCCTTCTGTGACTCTGCAGCCTGACAGCCTATAGAAAGGAAATCACAACATTTTGGACAAAATATAGGTGACAACGATTCTTCAGAATGCCAGTGCTGATGTGCCCTAAGCCACCAGCGACTGGCCTGGACCCACCAGACAAACAGCCCATCAGCACCTCCCCCTTTTCCTCCATCCCTGTTCTTCCTGTTCCTGATAAAAAGCTGCCATTCATGGGCAATATTCTGCACCCAGGTTTGCCTGTGTGCTTCTGTTCCTGCGGCCACTACACACAGTTCACTGAAACTCATCTTTTAGCCCCAATGACTGTGTAGTAACAGACATAAATGATCAGCTCAGATCAAAATTAAGCCATCCACACTGTAAAAAAAATCCGTCAAAAAACAGAAAATGTACTGGCAGAAAATTACCAGCACATTTTCCGTTAACTTAACGGATTCTTCCTTCAAGTCTCAAGGAAAATACTGTAAATTCAGTTTTCCACAGTTTGTTGTTCCAATAAATATTTCTTAACTAATAGTTTATTTTCATTTTTAATTTTTCATTCTGCCAATGCAGAATTGTTTGTTTAATAAATGGTGTTGTTCACAAAACTACAAAAAGTAATTTGAGAATATAGTAATTCACTACATTCATAATTTTTCATGGCTCAAGGGCCCATAAACATGCAGATGTCTAGCTGAAGCTGGATTTGAACCAGCAACCAATAAGACCAAATACTTAGGCTATTGAGCCACACACTTACACTGACTTGATTTAAGTTGTAACTTTTCAAGTGGAATGAATTGCAATGTACCTGATTATAATACTCGTTAAGGTCAGTTCATTTACAGTTCCTACTTTCAGGAGCCAGTTAATAAATCTAATTATTTTTTAAGTATTTCTCCTGTAATATGTAATACACGTTTAAGTTAATTTCCAGGTAAGCATTTCAGGCAAGGCAGTGCTCATTGACACAGATTATAAAGTTTGTTACACTCTGCAGCTCCTGGACCTGCCCACTCTCCTGAAGACCAATAGTGCTGCTGTATATTTGCATAGCATGACAGGGTACTGCCTTTGTTTTAACTTTTAACCCTGATGGTGTTGAATAGGGCAGAGAAACTGTGAAAAGTCCAGCCCATGCATTTACTCTAGTATAGAGTATAACAATATTTAGTCAGTATGATAATCTAAAACAAAACATGTGCACCATGTCCTCTTTTCTGAAAATTATAAAGAGCTGAAAAGTGTAAATTGATGTGAGGCAATTGGTGTGAGTGCAGTGGTTCATTTGTCTGACTTGCATTGCAGCCACAGAAACAATTTATAAAATTAACATACGGGTATAGTATTTGTACTGTCAAATTGGACTGACCTCAGTATCTCCAGCTTACAGTGTGAATCCCCCAGTCCAGC